GGGCTCCCCACAGGTGCGGCCACGGTTGCTGGAAATAGCCTGGCCATCTGAGCGAGTCGCCCCCGTCCACAGCACAGCCAGATGACGAGAGGCCGCGGCTCAGGGCGGTGAGCAGAGGCTGCCTCAGCAGAACACAGCCCCAGCCAAGTGCCACGGACAGATCACACGTGGCAGAGCGTGGCTGCCGTCTTCCCAGCCACGGGACCACCGTCCATCCCCTGGAGGCCCGGCAGACACGGCCACCCAGGCTCCCCCACAGCCCCTCCAGGGACCCCCTCCAGCCAGCCCACTCCTTGGAGAAAAAGGAAAGGCTGCCCCCCAGCACAGGAGGCCCCTGCACTCCAACAAGCCACACTGCGAGGAACCCCCTCAGGCTTCCTTAGCCTGAGCCTCAATATGCAAAGAGCGATTGTGAGCAAATAAGGGCAGCCTCTGCTGGGGGGGGGGGATAGGGAACGAGTCAGCACAGTGCCCCTGCTAAGGGCTGTGCAGCCTGGGCCGTCTCTCTCCTGCTCTGGCTTCAGTGTCTCCCTGGCGACAGGAGCTGAGAGGCGCCGCACCGAGGATGCGCCACAACCCGTGCGGCACTGCGCACCCCCCGGCCTCCGCGCCCGCCCCCGCCAGGTGCCCGCTCTGCTGCACCTCCTCTCCAGCCGCCTGGCCCGCGTCCTCCGCCTCCAGGAGCGAACCGAATCCCTCCCCTGGGACTCCGAGGCTTTCAGGATAAATAATGAATCACCGCAGACCCCGATGGGAGCCGGAGCGCTACCCATCAGACGCGAGGGCTGGTCAGCAGCCCCCACCGGGCTGAGGGTCCAGACAGCTCAGCCCTGGCCCCGGCACAGCCAGGACTCCTTGCTGCTTCACTAAGTGACTCCCTGCCTTCTGACCCAGCAGCTCGTTTCTGCTCGGGGCCTGGCTGCCTGGCTGGGGGTCAGAAAGGGCCTTTGAGCCGGGCCAGACCCAGGCCCTGCTCCTCCACAGGCCACAGGACGTTAAATTAACGCAGCTGGAAACAGCCTTTCGGGGGGCAAGGGCCCGAGGAGCCTGCACACACCTCCAACCTCCTCGCCTATAAGGGATGGTTCTCCCCATGCCCCCGTGTCTGGGGCCACCCTGCAGGGCCCATCTGCACCAGCCTGTCCCCCCCTCAACCCCCCGCTGCTCCCTGCCCGGGGCTGCCA